TTTTTTTTCTTTTTTTTTCTTTTTTTTCCTTTTGTGAAACATTTTGTATGTACCTCTCTGCATGACCTGTCTCTTGTTTCTTTTTTCTTTTGTATCACTAGCAAATATTTAAGGATGATGCTTATTCTCTTCTGGTGTACTTAATAGCTTTGAAGGTACTTAATAGTTTTGAATGATTTTCCTCCTTTAAATTCCTTTATTGGAAACAGGTAATGTTACACCTATATCTAAAAATTCATAATATAGTTCTTCTAGAAAATTAGTATCCTTTTCAAGATAGATGCCATGCATAAAAGGAAACAAAATTTTGGGTGCTACTTAGTGTTACTGTCACTTAAAACTTGATTGCAACAGCTGCACTGAATACACCAAAATTCAAATTTTATACTTCATTTTCTCTGTTGCCAGTTCTATACTTTGCATGTTTCATGCTCTATATTTAGGATCATAGAATCATAGAATGGCCTGGGTTGAAAAGGACCACAATGATCATCCAGTTTCAACCCCCCTGCTGTGTGCAGGGTCACCAACCACCAGACCAGGCTGCCCAGAGCCACATCCAGCCTGGCCTTGAATGCCTCCAAGGATGGGGCATCCACAGCCTCCTTGGGCAACCTGGTCCAGTGTGTCACCATGCTCTCAGTGAAAAACTTCCTCCTAATATCTAACCTAAACCTTCCCTGTCTCAGTTTAAAACCATTCCTCTTTGTCCTATCACTATCCACCCTTATAAACAGTCGTTTACAGGATGTTTGTAGATTACTTCTGGACGTGATCTTCCAAGTGCTGATGCATGTTTAACAAAATGTAATTAAATGTGGTTTTTTTGGACATTACACCAGCAGCTGTTAGCACTATGCCTGAAAGTTGCTTTGTAGGAATTAGCTCTAAACATGTCAGCTATGGAAACAACATTTGGCCTTATTTAAACAGTTTATTAAGCAAAGGAGATGGTAAACATCCATTTAATGTGTTTTTCTTCTCTGGCATTTTTTATACAGATTTCTATGGAAAACCTCTGCCACCATTAACTGTACGCCAAAGACCAAACAGTGATGCCCATGATGTCACTGCTTAACTGGATCCCAGATAACAATGAAAAAGCATGGTCAAGAAATTGTATTGTAAAATGGGTTTTGTCCATGAATGAAAATTTTTAAAATGACAGTCTATGAGCTTCTTGCAAAGTAAAAATTTGGTAACAGTTAAACACAGAGTTCATTCTATTCTACTTTGTCATTTACTTTTCACATCACCAGCACTTCAGGGTGAAGAAAGCATGAAAGCAAGGAAGATCTGTGTTTTCATGGAAGCTCCTATGAACACAGTACGGAATACATGTTGGGTTTACTTGTGAAAATCCATAGCTATAAACCCGAAGAAAAATACCTTCAAGATGATAAAATATTGGATTGTATGTTCTCTTTGACACCTTTCACCAGGTGCTGTGCAGTGGTTGATACTTTTGCAGCTAATAAATGGTTCTAATGCATTTTTTTTATGTATGTTAGGGTGAATATAGGCAGGTTAAACAACAAATATCAAGTATATTTTTCTAACTTTTTATAAAATTATTTGAAAATATATGTGGATTTTCCTACCTACTATCAATAAAAACAACACCCAGAAAGCATTAGAAAGCTGATACCTAAATACATGCAAGTAAAATGTGTTTGGCTTAACATTTTTCTTACAGTAGCAATATCTCTTATTAGGGATTACATTACCTTTATTACTTATTTCTGGCAATCTGAAGGGAGGTAGGTAGAAAGGGAACTTTAATGTAAATACATTTTTTACAAAATTAAGCTATTTGAATCGCCTGATTTTTTTCTTATACATTGTTTTAGTTTTGTTAACTGAGTTGGGTGTAGGTAATAAGTTCAGTTTGAAAAATAGAGCTGAATATTGTTTTGTCTGTTACAACATACAATAAAATTGCACACTGTGAAAGTTTTGCACTAATTCAGTCATCAGTTCTGATGAAAAACTGAATCATCCAATATGCGTTTAAGCTCCAGCACTTTTTAATCTCATTAACAGTAAAATGCCATCTTGAAAATAAAAGAATCTCCAGAATTTTAAGAAGTTATATAATGTCCCTGTGTAGTGTTTTAATTTTACATTTAAGAAGATCAAATACAAGGAATATGTAAAACAGGTTAGAAATGGTTATGTTACGTTTTCACTGACATGCTCTATATGCCGTCTTTCCTTTTACTTCCGAGGCAACCATTGGTATATTATACAAAAGTATATAGCCGTGCCACTTAGTTACAAGGACAGAACCCTTATTCAGAGTCTTTTTAAGAAGTGCTCTTTGCTGATTTTCCATTCTGCTCTCAGTTTTCCATAAAGTGATATTATTTAATGATTGGAGAAGAAATTACATTAATGTGATGCATTCTGCACTTTGACATTAGAAATCTTTGCTGCATACCCGCAGTGTCAGTAAGTTACACAAATAAGTATACCATATTGAAATGACATGAGTAATTAAGATTTTAAGAGTATGTTTGAGTGGAAAAAAGAATCAGTCTTAAAAATATGAAGTTTGAATTGGGTAGAGAGGAGTATTCCAGGCTTGCAAATTTGGCAGACAGACAAAACAATTTGTATGTGACTGTCAGAATGAGAATACTTTTCTTATATTCTAATAGTGTATTATGGTTCAGTTTGATGATTTGAGAGACTTAGTCATTTTCACTTCAAACAAACATGATATTTACTGGAGGAAGGATTGAATATTTTTTTATAAGTGCAATCCCAATCTTAACCAATTTTAATCTGTTACCACTTCATTATTTTGGCTTCATTATTTTGACTCCATTTTTGCTTTTTTTTTTTTTTTTTTTTTTTACAGTTTCAGTTTCTAGAAATGCATTGCCCTTTTATATTAACACTAATAAAAAATAAATTAATTGAAGTCTTTATTAAAAAAATAAAGCTAAATACTGCTGTGGAAACAAAATTTGAGAAACTAAAAGGTAAGATGTTGTTACTTATGTGTGAAATGTGTGCTAAGCGTCTTATGTGTGTGGACACGTGTATCAGTTTTGTTTCTGCTTTTAAAATAATCTGTACCAATAAATGACCAAAGTACTGAAAATGTTTCATACCGTTTTGTTTATAAAAATGTATTGACCACAGCAGCTTTTTCTTTTTTTATGTTACTTTTTTATTTGCTCAAGATTGTATTTATACCCACACTAAAACTAATGTACAGCATCAACATTTCCCACATTATCATAATTTTTATTTTTGAGGCAAAAATAGTCAAAAATATTTTATGTCTACAAGCCTCATTTGCATTGCTAGTATATAAAGCTCTAAATTTTAAAAGCAAATGTAGTTTGGAGATGTTTATCCTAAGATAGAAGAACTTCCCCCCTTCAGATAAACTGTTTCCTTACCCAGGATTGCTCTTGGCAACTGCTCTGTGGTAACAAGACCTGCACTTCTTACAAAACTTAGGGAAATAGGCCATGGAAAGGTTGATGTTCTGTCTGTACGCCTCACTGAATATGAATTTAACATAACTTCAAGTTATTTTCCTCTTGGGCTACTGGAATGACTGAGGTTGAGGGAAGTGCAGAGTGAGAACTGTAAGGTGTGCTTCCCTCATCCCACAACTTCCTCCTTCATCCTGGACTCTCCACATAAAGCCTTTCTCAGGCACATAAATAGCACAGTACTAATTACACTCCATGACTGTAGGGCAGGTATTGAGCATGGTACTGATCACACTTAATGCCTCACTAAGGCAGGCTTGTGGTTTGTGTTATTGGCAAAGTACAATTCAACTGTATGTATTTTCTTGCGTATGTTAGTAATAGGACTTGGCAGAACTACAGCTGCAGAGAACTGTACTTTTAGACCAGCTTTATTTCATATCTGGTGGTACAACTCATCTATTAAAAACCGTTCTGGTTTCCTTTCAATTGAGTATGCAGGAACACTCCATTTCACCCACTGGCTCCTCAGGATATTGATTGAAACACTTTAAACTAGCTTTGAAGTTTGACGATCATTTGCATGAGGTGAGCATGAATGTTCCTAGTCTTCATTAGTCAGTGCCTGAAACTCAAATATTTATTTGGCGCTCTTGCCTTTACCTTTGCACCCCTTTCCATTCTGTTTTTTAGAGTCCAGTGTAAGTGCAGAGGAGCTGCACAAGCAGTCATTAGCAAAGAGCCCTGCTAGAGGAACTTGCTGTTTCCAAATTGCTCTTACTGAAGAAGTCAGTGTACTGGTTTAAGTGGGCCACAGCAACAACAGCAAAAGCAGGCTAAAAGAACTAACTGATGTCCTTCCTCACACAAGGAGCCTGCAGGTCTCCATGGTCTTGTTTCAGCAAACTGAGCCTCTGGAGCATGTCTAGAGATGGGAAACAGAGCTGTGAAGGGTATGTAGCACAGCTCTTATGGGGAGCAGCTGAGGGAACTGGAGAAGAGGAGGCTCAGGGGAGATCTTACCACTCTAAGCCTGAAAGGAGGCTGTGGTGAGGTGGGGTAGGCCTCACGGTAACAGTGATAGGGTGAGAGGAGATGGCCTTAAGTTGCACCAGAGGAGGTTCAGGTTGGATGCTAGGAATTATTTCTTCTCAGAAAATGTGGCAATGTATTGGCACAGGCTGCCCAGGGAGATGGTGGAGTCCCCATCCCTGGAGGTGTTGAAGAACCGTGTGGTTGCAGCACTGAGGAACATGGCTAGTGGGCAGTACTGGTGGTGATGGCTGGTGGTTGGAGTCGATGATCTTAGTAGTCTTTACAACCTCTGATTCTGTCTCTAGTGTTTTACGGGGAGATGCTGAGCAATGGAACGGTAGTTCCAATGTCTCTTTAAAAAAAAAAAAAAAAAAAAAAAAAAAAAAAAAAAAAAATAAGGAAAGAAAGAAGAAAACAACCCGCTTCCAGCACGCAGCCAGCTGACCGGTAGAGAGCAGTGCAGTGCTCCAGCTGGGAGGAGTAGCCCTCGGCCGCCCCGCCCCACAGCCGGCCATGAGGCTGCCCCAGGCGGCAGGTCGCCTGCTGCCGCCGCTCCCCACCGGGGTCGGTCTGCTCCGGCGACGCGGGGCCGCCCAGACGCCGGAGCAGGTGAGGCGCCGCGCTCGGCGGCACGGGGCCGGAAGTGGGCGGGGAGGAACGACCGGCCCCTTCCTGCACCGCCCGACGGGGGGGTGGTGGTGGTGTGTTCGGGGTTGCGTGCTTAAGGGTGAGCCGTGAAAGGCTGTAAGGGAAGTGAAGGAGTGATGGTCCTAGCTTGGAGGGGGGTGGTGTGGCACGGCCCCAAGGAGGAAAGCCCGGCAAAGTTCTGTGTCCGCTTTGTGAATAGTACAGCTTTGTTCAGAAACCAGAAGCTCTTTCTTCTTTCTTGTGAAGTGAAACATATGTCTATGTCTTGATGGAGCTGTAGGGGTTTCTGTTCTTTGCAGGGGGTTGGCCTAAGTGGCCTTTAAGAGTCACTTCCAACTCAAGCAATTCCATGGTTCGAATTATTATTCTTGGAATAACTTCATTGTTGCAGTACTTTGTGGCTCCAGAGAACTTGTACAATGATTTCAATGGATTTTACTTAAGTGTGTAGGTAAGCCTTGGCAGAAGTGATTGCCAAGTTCCAGGTTCTAGGAAGTAGTCTTTTCAGAGAATCACAGGATGGCCTGTGTTGGAAGGGATCTCAAAAATCATGAATCTCCAACCCCCCTGCTACAGGCAGGGCTGCCAGCTTCCCCATTTATTACTAGACTGGACTGCTCAGGGCTCTATCCAACCTGGCCTTGAGCACCTCCAGGGACGGGGCATCCACAGCCTCTCTGGGCAGCCTGTTCCAGCACCTCACCACTCACAGTAAAGAACTTCCCCTGACATTCAACCTAAATCTTCCCTCCTTCAACTTTAAAATCACTTTCCCTTGTCCTGCTGTTATCTACCCTTTCAAATAGTTGCTTCCCCTCCTGTTTCTAGGCTTCCTTTAGGTACTTCCTTTAGGCTGCAATGAGGTCACCCCACAGCCTTCTTTTCTCCAGGCTGAACAAGCACAGCTCCCTCAGTCTGTCTTTGTAGGGAGGGTGCTCCAGTCCCCTGATCATCTTTGTGGCCCTCCTCTGGACTCTCTCCAATAGCTCTCTCTCTTTCTTGTACTGAGGGCTCCAGACCTGGAAACAGTACTTCAGATGGGGCCTCACAAGAGCAGAGTAGAGAGGGACAGTCTCTTCCCTGTCCCTGCTGGTCACCCCTCTTCTGATGGAGTCCAGGATACTATTTGCTTTCCAAGCTGCAAGGGCAGACTGCTGGCTCATGTTAAGCTTTTCATCCATCAGAATCCCCAGGTCCTTCTCTCAAGGACCGCTCCTTCCAGTCTGTATAAATGCCTAGGATTCCTCCGGCTCAAGTGCAAAATCTTGCTCTTTGCTGATGAGCCTTGCTAGGTTCACCCGGGCCTACCTTTCCAGCCTATCGAGGTCCCTCTGAATGGCAACCCTTCTTTCTAACTGTGTCATCCGCACCACTCATCTTGGTGTCATCAGCAAACTTGCTGAGGTTGCACTCGATTTCGTCATCGATGTCACTGATAAAGATGTTAAAGGGCACTGGTCCCAAGACAGACTGCTGGGGGATGCCGCTCATTACAGCCTCCACCTAGACATAAAGCCATTGATGACAACCCTCTGTCTGCAGCCTTTCAAACAGTTTCTTATCTATCGAGTGGTCCATCCATCAAATCCACATTCCTCCAATTTTGAGATAAGGACCTGGTGGGGGACCATGTCAAAGGCCATGCTCAAGTCCAGGTAAATGACATCGGTCACTTTTCCTTTGTCCACCGATGCCGTCACTCCATCATAGAAGGCCACCAGATTGGTTAAGCATGACGCTCCACTGGTGAAGCCATGCTGGCTGTCTCTGATCACACGCTCATTCCTCATATGATCAAACATGTCATCCAGGATGATCTGTTCCATGATCTTCCCAGGCACGGAGGTGAGACTCACCGGTCTGTCCCCGGGGTCCTCCTTGCTCCCTTTCTTGTAAATGGGAGTGACGTGACCCTTCCTCCAGTCATCCAGAACCTCACCTGACAGCCACGACTTTTCAAATATGGTGGAGAGTGGCTCGGCAACCACCTCAGCCAGCTCCTTCAGAACCTAGGGATGCATGCCATCTGGCCCCATAGACTTGTACGCATTCAGTCTCATGACTTGCTCTGTCCTCACAGTGGGGGGGGATTTACTGCCCTGGTCACCACCTAGAGGTTTAGGGACACAGGGCTCAGGGATGTGAGAAATACTGGAATCCTGGCCGCCAGCGAAGACTGAGGCAAAGAACTCATTCAGTACCTCAGCCTTCTCTCTTCGTCCGTTGAAGCCAGTTTTCCTTTAACATTTACCAAATGAGGTACACTCATTTTGGCCTGTCTCTTCTGGGCAGTGTACCTGTACAACGTCTTCCTATAGTTTTTCACATCCTTAGCAATAGGAAGACATTCTCTTCAGTCATGCTCTGCTTTTTTTGCTCCCGATATCACACAGCCACAGGACCCACTACATTATCCTAGTGTGGATGGTGGGGGAATATGTTTGTCAGGCTTTGATTGCCCTCACTAACAGGTGAGGAAGGAGAGAGGACCTAGCTTAGTTCTTCAGTTTGTTACATTTTAATATGTGTGGCATACCACCTCGACATCTTGATTATCACTGATACTAATTGATTTAATGTGAAAAAAATATTGTAATAGTTTTTAATAGTTGTTATTGTTTTTTTGCCCTTTTAACTCCTTTCTCCGAAGCTGGAAAATAAAACCAAAGGAAAGCTCCAAAAGCAAATCTGTCAAGTTGTTCTGGACCACTTTGAGAAGCAGTACTCGACAGAGCTGGGAGATGCATGGAGCAGCATCAGGTCTGTTGTTTGAGGCAGACTGGGGTAGGGGAATGGGAGAGGTTCTGATAGTTTATAAAGCACTTAAAAGTTAACTTCCAAAAGAGTTTTGCATAGATTGTAGCAATTGTTCCACTTTATTTGTCATTTAGAACTGTAATAACAACAGGAAGTAACAGAAGGTTAGATATTGGAATTATTACGTTTTTCCCTGACATTGATTTTTTTGATGTGGTGATTAAGTTTCTGTTCACCTGTGTGTGCGTGTGCACTGCCAGAATACTACTGTCTTGCATGCTCTGTTAGCTGTTCTATAGAACAGTTAAAAAAGTAACCCTTTTTACTTCACAGCTGCTCTTAGTATTTTTCTACAGCTTCATAGTTGAGATGTTAGAAGAAATTGAGAACTGGCTGTGTATCTGTACAGAGAAGTGCGTCGCTTAACTTGGGCCTTGATCACACAGCAGCTGGAAAACTGGAATGCAGAGAGGACACCTTGCCTTCCCTGCTAGATGGCAGTTCCTCATAAAAAAAGCCATAGAAGAGCACTTCTGGGGGAGTTTATTGCCTAGCTTGTGTATAAGGAATGTGAACAAAAGCAGTTAGCTTCAAGATGAATGCTCATGTGAGCTTTGCCACATTATTTGAGTGGAAAAGTTTCTTTTATATTCTTAGTAACCATGTTACTACTCTGAATGACCTCTTGAAAATATATATGTGTAAATAAAAGCATGAAAGTGCAGCATTAGTTGAACTGAATCAACCTAAAAACTCTTAGGCTGGATCAATTTATGTTCTGCTTTTAGTCAGTGAATATTGCAGATAGGAATTCAAATGGAAAATGGGAAATCTTTGAAGAAAAGCCTGAAAAAATCAAACTGAAATAAGAACAGTTGCATTCCTGTATTTAAGCATTGCTTTTTGATTATCTTCAAGGAATGTCTCTTCACCTTGGTTTTGGTTTTTGTTTTTGTTTTTTTTTCCTGAAGCAGCAATTGTAGAACGTACATAGAAATTGAGCAAAGGACACTTGTAAAAATTGCATTTTACTAATGCATGTATACAGCATTGGCTGGAATGACCACTGCAAAGCGGATGGGATTGCTTTTGCTGTGATTTCTGATGAATAACGTTACAGTTGCTATTTGCCCCTAGAGAGGTAAAAAAGTTGTGTTTCATATGTTATAACTTCCACAGTCGTTTGTTAAAGAATTTGGAAAAATTGAGAACACCTTACTTAAAAGAAGTTAGTGTTTTAATGCAATAACTAAGGAAAATGATGGCTTGATTTCCTGTTGAAGTTCTTTTCCTGCCTGTTTTTCACAACTATATCTAATCAGGATGATTCCTTTTTGTTTGCAGAAGAATCATCTGGTTATCCATATGTAAGAAGAGGCTTCTTGTGTGGTGGGAAGTTCATCTTACTTGTCAAGTTATTAAATAGATTTTCCTTTTTCCAACCTAGAGAGGTACTCACATACCCATCGTACTGGCAGCACGCTGTCCTGCTCAACAAATTCAGCCATACTGCTGACCTGGAGGACACCTTGAATGCACAGGGATATCATCCTGCCTTCAGAGGAACTTTGCCCTATCTTCCAAGATCACTGAAGTGTTATGTCAGTAGAACTCCTAGGAGGTTCCCTTCACAAAAACACCAGACTGGTAAACTGAAAGAATATTATCTACTCAACGCTGCTTCTGTGTTACCAGTGCTGGCTTTAGAGGTGAAGGATGGGGAAGATGTTTTGGATCTCTGTGCTGCGCCAGGGGGTAAATCAGTAGTGATCCTGCAGTGTGCCCGTCCAGGTACTGTATCAAGAAGCTGATTTGCATCTGGGCTGTTTGAGTTGTGTATGTGTTTCTATATGAGAGTTGGAAATGGGGTGGTGGGTATTTAATAAAAGTTTTTAGTTCGGTGCTGTTTGCTAACATTCTTTTGAATTCTATTTACCTAAAACTGATGAAAATGGCATAAGTTATTTAAATATAGGTTACTGCATACTGGCAGACAGATGCAGAGTAGCTTCGTTTTTCTTTTTTTTTCCTACTAATTTCTTTATATTACTTCTAAGAATTGAATTTTACTTCAAGTCCTTTGTAGATTTGTTGACCCATGAAGTTAAGTAATTTACAACTCTAGAATGTTTGTACTTTTTTCCTCCCTGCTTCCATTCTGGGCAGTGCTATGCAAATAGCGTAAGTAAATAAATGAACCAGTGTAAAATAGAATATAGATTAAATGCTAGATCTAGGCAGGGGAAGAAAGCTTATGGCAAGAAATTGGTCTATACCAGTATTTAATAAGTTCCACTCTTGATTTATCTACATGTTGCAGAAGAGAGCTCTGAGATAACCCTAACATGTTAGAAAGCTGCTGCTTGGTGTTGCCCAGTTCTGCTAGGCTGGGGGGTTCAACTAAGCCTTGGTTGCTGTTTCCAAGTTTGTCTGTTAGTTTGGGTAATTGTCTTAAAATGTTTGCAGCAACTTAGGTTCTTACAGATGAGAATGTTAATTAGAACCACCTGTCTCACTGATTACAGCTGGTTCTCATTCTCTCTCACTTAGAGGAATCCTGCTGATGAGCTAAATGAAATGTGGGTTACCCTTTCAAAAGTTTGCTAAGGGGGAATGTTTGTTGATTTTTATCTCTGCTTCTAAAGGTATCAGTTTGTTGCTGAGAAGTAGGGTTCAAGGAAAGTTGACTGTGGCTCTATGTGAGTGGCTGGATGCTGAGATGTATTCTGCTGTCTATAGCAGACATAGAATTTAGGATGAACTACAGATGGGTGTCCAGAGTTGGGAAAGGAAAAACTTTAATAAAATAGCAACAGGAAGTAAGAGAAAATGTATTGTTGCGCTTGATAAATACAAGTGACTTTTCTTCAAAAGCTCTGACTGCTCTGACATGTTGCAGCATGGGGTGCAGTCAGCTGAGCTTTCATTCAGTTAAAAGGCAGTTAATTTATAAGAGATACATACTTGGTTATCTAAGCACAATGGCAGAAGGAGCCTAGAATAATCTTCAGATAGCACATTGGACGTGACTTATGTTTAAAGTTTGTTTTACTGTGGAAGTCTATTGCTAACTTAAGTATTTTATTTTTTTCCTAGTAAATATTCATGGATTGCTTTATAGGAACGTGTTGAAATTTGTGAGGGTTTATAAAAAACAAGCAGTGCTATAAAACGTGTGATAACATAAGCACATAGTTTATAAGCTCAGTGGCTTTCACAGAAAGTATCTGTAGAATTTCTGAGAATTGTGTAACTTTTTTTTTAAAGAACATTTACTTTCTTTTCATTATTTTAAGGTCAGTTTCACTGTAACGAGTATGATGAGTTGAGATCAAGATGGTTGAAACAGACAATGGAATCCTTCATCCCAGATCCTCTGTTTAACTTAATAACTGTCTCTAACCTAGATGGTAGACAGATTGGAGAACTTAAGCCTGAGTTCTATGACAAGGTAACATTCCACTACTTTTCGTATGCTGCTCCCTTTGTTTTCTTATTTTGTTGGGTTCAGAAGAACATTCGCACAACCTTGTAGCTTTGTTATATAAACATCTGCAGAGCCTCAGAAATCATTTGATGAACCTTACTGCATGTGTGTTCATGTGCTAGATGATGTTATCCAGTTAGTCTTGACAAGGAGCCTTGATAATGAAGAGCTTATGGCTTCAGGTGTGTAGTGGAAGTGCAAAGTCACGGCTTGAGCCAGTGATTGAGCACCTGGTGGGTAGGCAGGGCCAACCCAGGGGAGCTCAGTTGCAAGCAATGCACTTGAGCGATTAGAAGAGATGGAACCAGCACCCACCCCTTCCCAGACCTCATTTAAGGGTTGAAGGTGGAGATGAGGGTATCTTTTGCTAGAGATCCCTGTCTACCGGAGGCCTTCTGAAGATAAGTACATTCTTTCCTTTGTTTCTTTGCCTTCTGCTGTCATGTTTGAGCAGATCCTCACTCACTGCAGCTTGGGGTCTTGCTACTCTGCCATTGTTGCACCTTCCGTTGGAACTACATGATCCTTGGGGTCCCTTCCAACCCGGGTGATTCTGTGATTCTGTGATCCATCCAGGTAGAGGGTAGTTTTGGAGCAGCACCTTCTTATGTTTTGTTTTCCTACCTGGTGATTCCTTAAGAATGCCACATCTCAGCATAGTAGTTAGATTGTTCCCACACACAAGATGGAAAGTAAAATATGGTCTTCTCAGTGCTTGCAAAAGTACTTTGATAGACAGTTCTCAGAAAGTGAATATCTGCGTTGTGAATTGTCTTCTTTGCTCTTTTTTGTATAGATACTGGTTGATGCTCCTTGTTCAAATGACAGAAGTTGGTTATTCTCTTCTGATATTCAGCAAGCTACACTTAGGTTACTACAAAGGAATCAGTTACCTGTTCTGCAGTTCCAGCTGCTAAGGTGAGAAGTGTGAAGAGGAGCTGTTGAAGGAGCTTTTGTAATTAATGAAAATTATATGAGGTCAAGATGTGTCATGTTTAGAATCCAAACCTAAGTTTCACTGCATGAGGAAAAAAAACCGTAAGAGTATGTTGTTGCAATTATTGTTTAGATTAAAAAATTAATTTGAATATGGAAATTTGCATGGTGTAACATAAGTGGTGAGGTCTGGGTCCTTTGCTGTGCTGCTTCTGCATGGTGCTCTTTAACTAACTTGTATCTATGTCTATTTTCAGATGATTCAGATCAGTCTGGTGTATCTTTAGTGAATAAAGCTAAATTGATTTCATAAATGTTCTTTATCTGAAGTGAAAAAACTTGCACCATATTCCTGGTTTGCTTCTTTGTCTTAAACTGTGAGAGTAGTCTTGTGTGTGTGTGTGTGTGTGTGTACCCCTTTGATTACTGTTAGCCCAAAAATACAACTTAGTATAACTAATTGGGTAAAAGGAGAAAAAAAAAAAAAAAAAGTAAAAGAATGCTGGTTTATGGGGGCATCAGGCTGGGGGAGGCTATCTATTTTTCAGGAGCTTCCACCTTGTAGCTTAAATCAAAGTTGTCATGTATTACATTATTTTAATAATACCAGAAATAGGCTGGCTAGCATTTGTGAAACTGTTGAAACTCATTTTTCTCCAATGAGGAAAAACTGTCCTGTGACTTCTCGGTAATTCCTTCTAGTCTTCAGTGTTTTTAACTAAGAAACAACCATGCCTGAAGTCTATCTGTCAAAGCAACTTGAGGGGAAATACAACATATTAAAAAAAAAAAAAAGTAGTCGTTACGGAAAGTTCCCTTTGCAGCATTTCCAGGTAGTCTTGCACAAGTTCTGGCTGAAAAAGACCTATCAGAAGCCTGTGATTTATAGCAGAAATATGAGTATCTTATTGCAGTAATGCATCATGTCATCTATTTCCTTTGAAGAAATCGATCATATTTAAAACACTGACCTATTTCAGTTTTTTTCTTTTCAATATTTGACATACAAAATCCAATTTGTGATTCCCAACCAAAAGAAAGCATATATCATGCAGTGAAATTTGGAGGATTTGCATAAATCATTGGAATTTGTAATGCTGAAGTGAAGGACTTGTGACGACAGGAGCTTTTTTTTAGGAACAAAACGAAGCAGAAATACGCACCTGTCACCCCCAAATAGGGTTTAATTGAATTATTCCTAAATTGAGGAAAGAATTTTGTCTGTTGAGAGCATACTTCACAGTAGCAACAAGAATAAGCTTTGTAAGGACTAGAACAGTTTTGATATGGGGTTTAAAATCCTTTTACTTTGACTTACATTTTATCATTCAGATATATCTGAGCAGTTCTGTAGATTGAATAGTATTGTTATGCACGCTGGATATTATTTTTCTCCTCTAAAAGATTTTGGGGCACAATAATTAAATGGTGAGTTTCATGATGTAAAGATTGCACACTTAATCTAATAATGTACTTGGAAGCATTGTATGTGTCTGCTGGATTTTTATTGCTCCTTCTGATTATTTTAGAAAGGATTTCCAATATTAATGGCATATCAGATTGTACGTGAAAGGAGAAAAAGGAAATTATAAAATGAGAGCAGGAAAGGCTAAATGATTCATGCAAGTGCATTAGAATTTTTGCAAAACTAAGATTTAGAATATTACCTACTTGAGCCTTTGTTTTATAGCCAGGGTACGTAATTATAAATTAAAAACTCAGTTTGAATTCAGTCTCTGATACTTTCTGGTAATAGATACCTTCCAGTAATATCCAGGAAGGCTGAACGTATGCTAAATCACTTTCTTTGAGTCAGCTCACGCAGCGCTGGCTCTGGGTTACTTATTCAGGCTGCCTTGTGCTTTATGTTCATGGGTATCTCTCAACTCAGTTGCTCTATCTGTAAAACAAAAATAAATATAAAGCTAGATGTCAGCAATTTTGTTGAAAGTAGTGGAAGAAATGGTGTGATTTGTAGATAAAATATAAAAGCCAGGTGTGACTTCAGAATAGCAATAATTTTGTTGTATAAGGAAGACAGCAAAAGAGGTTACCTACAAATGAGAATTATAAAATGCGAAAGGGAGTGCAATCTTTGTTTATTTTGAGTGGCATTCAGCACATAATTTGTGATTTCTACTTTCTTTTCATTTATGGTGATGCCTCACCTGTAATCCTGTTCTGAATTTTGTCATCCTGTTTTGGGGTTTTGGCTAAAGCAAATCATTCTTTGCAGGAGGGGGAATTGGGGACGTCAGTGAGGAAGAAAAAGTTTTTGTAATACATTGTACAAAGTGCTTGAAGGCTTCAGGGAGTAAAAAATCTTTTTTTAAAAAAAAAAAAAAAAAAAGTTGAAACTGATGTAATGTTCTTCCTCCACCAGTCTGAACAAAATCTGAAATGTAAATGAATAGCGTAGATGTTGAACAGCAAATTTTATAAGCAACAAGGGCATCACTGATTGGAAGGAAATTGAGACTATAGTGATTGTTAATATCAAAACCAAAGCATCCCTGCAGAGTGCTATAATCCAAGAACATGCTGCAAATCTTGTTATTATTTGGAGTGTTCATGCAGAAAACAAATTGCAAAGTAAGGAATGCTCATTTCCTGATAGTGAATGCTAGCGTGAAAGGCAGTGGTTCCCACAAATGAATTTACCAATCTTATCAGTTCTCAGATGAAAATTAAACTGGAGGGGTTAAGGTCGAGTGCATAATAACTTGATGGTGAAACTGTTACAGATGTTGTAATTATTTCTGAATTACTTATTGCAGCTGAAATAAACTGTTAGGATTCAGCTGAAAATAAATCCAAACAGGATGCACTTCAGAAAATGCAGCAAAGGCATTCAGACTACTTTAATTCTGTACACGACATCTTGCAGGAGTTAAACAGCTGTAATTGGTGTCTCATACAGTTCTGGTCCAGAGGAACTCAAACTGACTTTAAAAGATGTAGCTGACTTTTTTTCACCTAGTTTTCTCTGAAAGTAGTTAATAACTACAAGAGGATGTGTTAGTTTTGAGCGTGTAAGGCAAGCATGCACAAAGCTAAAAGGTTTGAGAGAATTTTGAGTGTATGAGATTTGAAGAGACACGACTATTCCATTCTTCTGATTACTGGTGGCAAAGTCAGTAATACAAAATACTTGTTTTGCTAGTTGATCTTTTGGGTTGTATGGGTTCTTGTTTTTCAGAATTCAAAGTGAAGCATTGCATCTAGATTAAGGAGTCAGAAAAAGACTTTATTGCCCTTGGTTAATGAAATGCTTCCATCAAGACAATGAGCATGTCCCAGCATCACCATGGTTTGTTAAAGTGTGTCAGCAACTCACTGCAATCAAACAAGGAACTTTTTTTCCTGACTGCTTGATAACTATCCATGAGAACAGCCTCTAAACACTCCACATACCTTTTAGCAGAATGTCCAATGTCTTGTCTTCCCTCTTGAACACCAGAGTCAATGTGCGTGGCACGCTTTAGTCGCCTGTAAAATAAGATTGACATTTTCCCTTAAGTCACCAGTAAAATTGGCAGCCTAAGTCTCTAAAGGCTAACCTGCTTACCAGCAGACCAGCATTATTTTCTGAAGCCCAGTCTTTTGAAAATTAAGTGAATAATAAAGCTTCTCATGAAAGCTTAGGATGCAAACAATTGAAGTTACAAGCTGTTCTCTGTAATTAAATCTGTGACAGATTCATAGAATAAATGTGCTCATAGAATTTCATCATAGATTTTTTTTTTTATTAAAAGAATTGGAAAAAAAAAGTGTATTCAATATTCTGAATTACTAAAAAAATACAGCAACTGCACTATTAATCCTTTGGCTTTGGTTGTGTCTTCTGTGTTTTCACTGAAGAGTTTTCCACATGTACTTCAGTGAAGAATTACAATGTTTCTTTTACCCTTTTTTTGATGTATGTGTGCTGCAAATTGCTTATTTTGTTGTAAAGTGAAGGCAAATTGTGGTTTATTTATTTATTTTAAGTAGGTAGTATGCAATCATATGACTGAGGTATCAGGGTATGGATACCACCATACTCTATGGTTTTTTTTTTTTTTTTTTTTTTTTTTTTTTTGTTAAGACGAGAGCCTTTATGACATGTGGACATGTAATGATATATGGCAGCCTTGACTGAGAGTACTAGACTCCTATATCCGAGCTCTTTGGGTTAGTTATGTAGCATTTTCAAATGATCTGAGGAGATGCTTAACTGAGGTGTCAGTGATGCAGTGGTGAATTGAGAGAGGAAATGAATGCTGTGTTCTGTGGAGAATGGAAGAGAAGACATGTAGGAAAGTGAGGGGTATGTCATGTGCAGGATTGCTGATCTGTACTGTTTTTTGGCTTGTTCCCTGGAGTTTTTCCTATTCCTCCTTATGTACTCCCTCTTGTTTTCCATAATCATCTACTCACCTCCACTGAGAATCTGTTAGAATTGTAACTATTGTTCTGGCAGATTCTGTAGATGGTTCTTCCCTTAACCGCTTTCCGTCTCTGAAAAATTGAGTAATTTATGTAGAGTGATTGCCCAAGGCTTCATATCAGGTGTGCTCTTCAGGGCATTTCACTGAGCAAAACCAGGTTCCTTTTCTGTACCGTCTTGTCCCTTTGGTTAAAAGTGGTTTGGTAGCTGTTGGCTGGACAATGAGCTTTTACATTTTGTTCTAATTATGCATATGTCCGTATTTATTCCATGCTATTCCTCAAGAGACTGTTGGTTACACTGCTAGAAGTACAGGTCAGTCTTATTCCTTTCTGTTGAGACTGCCATGAGACAAAAGTAGGGATGTGTCAGCGAAAGGGAGCACAATGTTTGAGCTTAGGGAAGGTGGGAGCAGCCAGTCCCTGGAAAACCAGACCAGAATCTGTTTTATATAAATAGCTGTTAACTAAAACACTTAATGTTTGAAAATTGAGTATTAGTAAGTGTCTGAATGAGTGTGAGAGACATACTGCCTCTTTGTTCGTATTAAAAG